GTTGAATCCTGGATCGGAGTGTTTGGCGGGAAGAGCGCATCACTGTCGAGCAGTACTTAGCGTGGAAAATTAAGGTGGAAGGGCGTCTCACTGGCGTGTCCCGGGGACTTAGCGAAACTTGCAGTGTGTTTTTGTGACGCGCTGCACTTCCGAGTGCTCGTGTGACGTAGCCTAATTTCCAATGTGTTTGGGCAACTTCGGGGAATACACACGGTCTCCAGTGATTTAGACGAGTTTCTATTGTGCCCTTAGACTTTGCAAAATGTCCAGTGCGTACTAGATGCGAACTAGTTAAACTTCCAGGTTATTACAGTGTCTCAATACACATTTCGAGTATATTTCCATATTCTTGTCCGCATTCCGAGAGTTCCAGTGCCCAAGCCAGATGCCAGAGACTTAGTCAAAATTCGAGAGCAACAAGAGCCCTAGCAGTGTTGGAATGTCCTATATGCGAAAACATTAGGGCAGACGACACTCTCTTATACTGAATTATAGGGTACGATTTTACACATGTCAAGGTACTGAGAGTAACATGAACGTCAAACTCAATTTCACGGAGCGGGAAGTGACAAAACCACAGTGAACAACAGATCGAGCAAGGGAAAAACTCGATGAATTCCAGGGGCCTGGCTCCGATTCTTCCAGGATTATTTCTGACAGCCCTACACGTATGCACCAATCACGCTGCTTCGTGCAACAAACGTGTTAGGCTGTCAGATGGGAACCCTAAACAGCTGGAGGATTTCATCCTGTCTTCACCGTTAGATTTCATCTAACGGGCATCCACTACTGCGCCCAGAAGATGGGAGAGTGGATGTGTGGAGTGGACGGACCTCTGCGCGCCGTAACATTATTAGGGATGGCGCGTGCCCAAATCGGGGAAAAAGGACACATTCACAACAGCCACCAAGTTACTGGTGAGAGTCTGACGCGTGGAATCGCTAGCCCCGAGAAGGTGTTCCACCTCGTCGTTCCGATGTTTTGATTGGCTCTCCCCCTGTTAAGGGGGATGTATATGTGATGTCAGCAGATGGGGAACCAGACCCCATTGCCAAAGAGCCCCGACAAGTGGGGCCCTCTGGCGAATGTCGTCCATGCGATTGAGACATGTTCCAGGTTCAGGTAGGTTAGGGTACGAGTAGCGAAAATTAACGAATGTGGCACCAACCTGCAAAGCAACTCGTGACCCATAGTAACGTGGCTCCAAAGCACAGAGTCAGAAGTGGTGCTGCTTCCTCATAATTTCCCCAGTGCCACTCGCAACTCGAAGTCAGGAACATTCAGCCATGGCTCTTCCAAGCTTAGATAGTAAACTAGCCTTTCAGCCGATCTCCATGCCCTTTCCCTACGGCGGAGGCTGGCTCGACATAACCGTAGACCACGCCAATAGGCTACGACCCGGTGAATGGGTTAGCGGAATCGTGATTGATTGGCTCGGTGTGTGAGTATCACGAATATAGACTCATTACACAGTGACGACACGGTTCTCTCATGCTTATATTTTGGCGTTAATCTGCGCACTCGCAGGATGCTGCAGTACGAACACGGTCTCAACCGCACAAAGTGGCTTTACGCTGGATCCTATTTCTGGGACTACGCTCGGAAGGACACACCGAGGCCTGAAAACGCCTACACTTTCGGATTGGGAATATTCGAATTCACACACGTTCTAGTTCCGATTAATACCGAGTAAGTTCTCGCCGCGTCGTGCCGTTGCACCAGAAATAATTCGCAATGCTAATGTCGTTTTTAATGATGCTAGTCCTCGTTTGCGCATTAGGAGTCATTGGAGCTTGATCGTCATCGAGAGAATCCCGAGACCCGACGACCCGATTCCCATGAACTGCGTGCTATGGCACGCTGACTCGAACGGTACCCATGACGGTGTTGACGCTCCGTTGCGCAGGTATTCGCTCTCAAATGGCAGTATGCTGTTGTCTCGTAACTCAAAACGGGGTAACTAAATAATTGAAGAACCATCATCCGATATGCAGGTATTTACGAAACGAGGTCGTAAAATGCTGTTCGTGGATCATTGATTCGGACGCTGATGCATGGGCTGCGAGCATCCCGCTACGGCACGTCAAGGTGAGCGAAATTGCCTTGTTTGTACGAGCTCCGAGCCCATGCATCTCTTTTTCTCGCAACGCGATTTCCTCCACCAACCCCCAATTTTGGACGGGCCTTACACTGCCGTAATTGACCCTGTGTGTCTTCAGATTCCAATGCAGGACAATGAGAACGACTGTGGTGTGTTCGCGATGCGTGTGATGCACACATTGGTCGAGGATGGTTTCCGTAACCTCCCTGCGTGTGAGCTTGTCGGTACGCCACTCAAATGGCGCCGTCAGTACCGTCGCGATTTGAGGAAGTGGTCTGTGTTTTTTCGGGGAAAGACGATGGTGGAGGTTAGAGGTGGGGCATGAGGCGGGTCTAAGCTGGTAATGGGGCGGGGAGCTTGGTGGAACGCGACTGGAATGAGAATGACAGGGTGAGCGAAGGGGGATGAGGCTGATAGCAAAGGGGGAGTGAGGCGGGTATGAAGTGGGGATTGAGACGGGTAGCAAGGGAGATTGAGGCGGGAAGCAAGGGGGAATGGGGCGGGTAGCAAGGGGAAATGAGGCGGGAAGCATGGGGGAATGAGGCAGGTAGCAAGGGGGAATGAGGCGGGTAGCAAGGGAGATTGAGGCGGGTAGCAAGGGGGAATGGGGCGGGAAGCATGGGGGAATGAGGCAGGTAGCAAGGGGGAATGAGGCGGGTAGCAAGGGGGAATGGGGCGGGTAGCATGGGGGAATGAGGCGGGTAGCATGTGAGAATGAGGTGGTTAGCAAGGGAGAATGGGGCGGGTATGAAGTGGGGATTGAGGCGGGTAGGAAGGGAGATTGAGGCGGGTATCATGGGGGAATGAGGCATGTAGCATGGGGGAATGAGGCGGGTAGCAATCGGGAATGAGTTTGGTAGCATGGGGGAATGAGGCAGGTAGCAAGGGGGAACGAGGCAAGTAGCAAGGGGGAATGAGCAGGGTAGCAAGGGGGCATGAGGTGGATAGCAAGGGGTAATGAGGCAGGTAGCAAGGGGGAACGAGGCAGGTAGCAAGGGGGAATGAGGCTGGTAGCAAGGGGGAATGAGGCATAGGCAGGTAGCAGGGAGCAGGAGGGGATGAGGCGGGTAGCAGGTCTCAGCATAGGGTGAACTTATTGGGCCTATGTTGTCAAACAAGACCTATAAGGAGGATCTGTTTGTCCCACCGTCCAGTCCATCGTGACAAGCCAACAAGCAAGTCACAGAACGCGTGGGTGAGGCTTCGAAACAGTCCCCATCACTCACGTGACCAAACAGCAAGTGTTTGTCACCTCCTCTCAAGCATGAAATAAGAACATACAACACATCAAGCAATTTATTTATGCACTATAGCTGCCCTACAGGACAACAGTGCAGAGACGCCCCATGATGGGAGTTTGTGTTGGAAACAATCGGTCCTAAGCGCCTGTGTCGTGTCGAAACACCAAAACACAAACGAAGCAAAACACTACGGTATCGAAGCACCAGCGAGTCAACCCTCGGAGGATGAAGTAACTGTCGGAGGTTACGGTCAGGTCAAAGGTCAGCGACCTTTGACCTGACAAGTACAGCGCGACAGCAAGGACACACAACTGACTCGCTGCAGAGCAGTTGCCCGAGTCGTCACTGTATCGAACCACAACAGCAACAGTAAAGTAGTTGCAACCGTATCTCTTCGTATTCCTTGTACTCTTATATAATCTTGTATCTCTTTGCTTTAATCAATTTACTTTGCCCTCACATACAAGCGCAAGGTGGTTCACAACACTTTAATTAACGCTTCCGCTACTACACCAAGTCTACCCAGAGTTCACCCCTGCAAAGATCCTAAGGGCTTTTCAGCCCAACTGTTTGTGTATGGCACTGGTAATGTTGCACCACAAATGACATACCAGTAGCTACCTTGTTGCGACACCAATATATTATTAACCTAGACCATATTTAAACAACAATCAAGGTAACAGGGTCACTGCTCTCCTTAAACAATTTGACAGTTGGTCCGTGAAGGATGTGTCTGGTTATGCACTGTCGGTGCTCATACTTGTGAGTAAACGTACGGTATTGGACAGCTCAACATTCCTTTGGTAGTAATGATTTATATGTTCTTTCAACACTGTATTGCAGCCTTGCAAATAAATGTGTCATTTTGTGCCCCCCGTGCACCATACCACGTACCTCAGTTAATTGCCACGAACGTTGTTCTCTCCGACTTGCGACCCAATCGCCACCACTCACAACTAACTCCCGAGCATGCGTTCTTATCGCAGGTGTTCCATAACGGCTTCGTATCAGACTGTCGCATCGCTGTACGAATTGCGCCAATGGTTCGTCCCCGTTTCTCCGAAGTGGCGATTTTACTATTGACGTGACGCCTGCGCCAAGCTTCGTGAGGCACGCGTGGAAGACTATGAAAATTAGCCACATAAAGTCTGTGCGGGCAGAATAGATATCTTTCGTGAGCCCTAATACACTAGCGCACGTTTAAGCACTAGCAACATTTTGTATCGCTCCCTGCCGCTACTGGACGGATAAACGCCCACTCCCACTTAATCATGCCCCATTGGAGCCTCAATTTTTTTATGGATGCACGTTAACCACCGTGTGATTGGTTGTTTGGGGAAACGAGGGACCTGGATGTCGCAAGGTGGAACAGAGCAGGAAACACTCAAACCCTCGTCACCTCCGTGCTCCTCTTGCGTGCCTGCTTGTGGGACGGTCATCTGCTCCAGGCCCCTGTCTGATCCTCGTCCCTTCTATGCTCAACAATTTTTTAGTGCGCGAAGCGTAGCCGTCAGGTTGCAACGTCATAACTAACACACACCTCAGACTACTGCGTGAATGGAAACCTAGACATTGCAATGGATAGTCAGACGATTAAGGGGCCCAATGGGGCGATCGTTTTGGCAGACTCGTCGAAATTGCCGGAGGAAAAAATTTATATGGAGTTAGTTACAGTAGATAAAACGGCCGAGATCGTTAACGAGTACCGCAAGTACAATGCGTCGTCGGCGCGTGATGACGTTGAGTCAGGACGGGACTCTTCATCTGGTGACGAATCAAATAGCGACGGCGATGTTGGGGCATACGCTAACAAGGGCGTGTCCTCCCCTCCAAAACCAAAGGAGAGGCGCGTGAGGCGCTTAGATGACATCGGTCCCAAAGCCGGCCAGAAAGGTACGTGTCTTTGGTACCATCTGCTGAAAGGTAGACTTGCATGATTAATTACCTCCGACCGATCCAGTAAGTGCGGTTTGCCGTCGTGTTTGACTTGTTCCCGTTACTGAAGCTCCGATTGTGCTCCCCCGTAACATTGTCAGAGGACAAGCGTGACAACCGAAAGGGGCGTAAGCGCCGTCAACAAAAGAGAGGCACTACTTCCCATGCTGCGTCTGAAGGCGACGAGGAGGTCGAGGACGGCGGACCCGTCAAAGAAGGTGCGTGTTTGTGTAATATCGCCGGTTCCTAAGTAGCACGTTACTCCCTGCATCGACTGATCATACTGATGCCACTTCGTGCAATTAAGGTTAGCGTGCACTGGACTGCTAATGTTCTTGTGATGTCCGCCCTCGCAGCTCCGTCAGCAGGCAGGCGTGCAGGACAACGCGGTAGATGTTATGACCGTAGCGGGAGGGCTGCGGAGTATCATGGCAGTCCATCTGGCCGCCTAGGAATGTCTGCGCGTGGCGACGAGCAGGAACATGGTGAGCTTGAAGGGCGTGGTGGTGGAAAGCGCAACAACGTGAAGGCGGCGGCGGCAAAGGGCAGTCCCTCGGGGAGGCTCTCGCAGGAGGTGGCTGGTGGCGACGAGCAGGAACATGGCGAGCTTGAAGGGCGTGGTGGTGGAAAGCGCAACAACGAGAAGGCAGCGGCGGCGGCCAAGGGCAGTCCCTCGGGGAGGCTCTCGGAGGACGTGGCTGGTGGCAACGAGCAGGAACATGGCGAGCTTGAAGGGCGTAGTGGTGGAAAGCGAAACAATGCGAAGGCGGCGGCGGCAAAGGCCAGTCCCTCGGGGAGGCTCTCGCAGGAGGTGGCTGGTGGCGACGAGCAGGAACATGGCGAGCTTGAAGGGCGTGGTGGTGGAAAGCGCAACAACGAGAAGGCAGCGGCGGCGGCCAAGGGCAGTCCCTCGGGGAGGCTCTCGCTGGATGTGGCTGGTGGCGACGAGCAGGCGCTGCCCAGGCCCGTTATAGAAGGTTGGCGGTTCCTGGCTACTTCTGTCGTTGATTTTGAGGTTGCATAGCCTTCGCTGCCACCCTCCTTGTATATTGTTACCTGTTGCACCAGCAACTATGTCGTGAGTGACGTGACACCGAGATTGTCTCTCTCATATCCCTCTCGCTGCAGGGCTAGCAGAGCAGCGAGGTGGTGGCGGTATCGATCAGGATGAGGACAAGCCTGCAGTAGTGACTGCTGGGAAAGAACATGGACGTGAAGCTGTGATTCCGTACAAACGACGCAATGCTGTGAACTCGGCCGGTCGCGACCGAAATGCGAGACAAGCTCGACAAGGGACGAAACAGTATGTTTCGAGCTCGTCGGGTTCGGAGGAGGGATCCAGTGACAGTGAGTCAGGCAGCTCATCCGGGAGTGAGGAAGTATACGAGGACAAGGAGGAGGAGGAAGAGGAAGAGGAGGATGAGGAGTTGGAGCCGGAGAGCGAGGATGCGGAGGAGGCTCGGCCTTTGAAGAGGAGGGGTGTGCGGAAGACCAAGAAGGGCAATGGAAAGCGAAAACCGGAGACAGGACGGGTGAAGAGCTATAAGCAGAGTGTGCGTCGTGCCAAACCACATGGCAAGCGCCAGAGACCTCGATTCGAAGCTAAAATTGTGGGTGTGCGTAGCAAGGAGAAGCGGGAGTTGGATTTTTACGAGTCCATGGGGCAACGATGTCCATCAAGCCCTCATGATTGGAAAGCCACCGACACGTATGCTGCGTTACGCGAGCAGATGGATTCGTCTGGGAAGGGAGATCCGATCGCTTGGGGGTCAGCGCGGTTTGGCAGGGAAGCGACGGACCCGCATGCAAAGCTTTCGGGGGGGCACGCGGTTCAGGTGAAAATCGAGGGAGCAACGAAGCGGCACGAACCCTCGGCCGCCGCAGCAGCCAATGACGGTGTGGGAGGAGGTGTGTGGGCGAATTCCTTGGGTGAATGTGGCGGCGGTGTGGAAGGCTCCATGTGGGATGTACGGGATAGCAGGGGAGAAGGACGAGACTTGAAAATGGATCCGGCGACTAAGGAGGGGAGGGGCGAGAGCATGGGCACACCTGGCGCATCCAGTCGGCCCAATGTGGCTGGCGGCAAGACGGTGGAGCAGCTCATTTGGGAGCTTGCCCAGCGGGATCGCGAAATTGCGGCACTCAAGGCAAGGCCAGGAGCCAAAGGACCTGTCAAACCCTGCACCCCTCCGTCTAGGCCTCCTCGTATTGCGTCTCTGTCGAGCGGCCCATCTGCAGTGGGCCTCGATCCAGGCGTGGCGCCAGAAAGCCCATCGACGGTAGACGTACCGGTCCGTCGAACGCGTGGGATGCCCAAGCCCAAGCTGCTGAAGGTGGGTATGTTTAAGTGTTAAGCAAGGTGTGGCATGGGGCTCAGTGATAGCTGCAGCTCTCTCTCTCAACACCTCGTTCCCCCCACCTCTTTATGCTGGTCAGAGTGTTTGTACCATTATGCGCAGTGATAGCGGCCTGGCTGCGGTGTGATAGGCTCTCCCAGTACGCCCCGCTTCAGGGACGCTGGCGCTGGGCGTACGATACTCTCACACTCTGCCCCACCTCTCCGAGCTCACCATAACTGTTATATTTCCTCCCCCCCCCCCCTCTCTACCGTCACTCCACATCCTCTTCCAGAGCCCCTGTTCATGGCGCTGCTTGTCTGGTATGGGTGGCATGCGGCGCAGAGATAGCAGCAGCCCTCTCTGTCATCCCTACGCGCCCAATCCCTTCTTTCCGCTTGCTCCCCCCCCCCCCCCCCCCTCTCTATCCCACCCCTCCCCCTCCTCTTCCAGAGCCCCTCTAAACAGTGCTGCTGGTCTGGTGTGGGTGGCATGCGGCGCAGAGATAGCAGCAGCACTCTCTGTCATCCCCACGTGCCCAATCCCTTCTTTCCGCTTGCTCCTCCCCCCCCCTCTCTATCCCACCCCTCTCCCTCCTCTTCCAGAGCCCCTCTAAACGGTGCTGCTGGTCTGGTGTGGGTGGCATGCGGCGCAGAGATAGCAGCAGCACTCTCTGTCATCCCCACGTGCCCAATCCCTTCTTTCCGCTTGCTCCCCCCCCCCTCTCTATCCCACCCCTCTCCCTCCTCTTCCAGAGCCCCTCTAAACGGTGCTGCTGGTCTGGTGTGGGTGGCATGCGGCGCAGAGATAGCAGCAGCACTCTCTGTCATCCCCACGTGCCCAATCCCTTCTTTCCGCTTGCTTCCCCCCCCCCCCCCCCCCCTCTCTATCCCACCCCTCCCCCTCCTCTTCCAGAGCCCCTCTAAACGGTGCTGCTGGTCTGGTGTGGGTGGCATGTGGCGCAGAGATAGCAGCAGCACTCTCTGTCATCCCCATGTGCCCAATCCCTTCTTTCCGCTTGCTCCCCCCCTCCCCCCCCCCCCTTCTCTATCCCACCCCTCCCCCTCCTCTTCCAGAGCCCCTCTAAACGGTGCTGCTGGTCTGGTGTGGGTGGCATGCGGCGCAGAGATAGCAGCAGCACTCTCTGACATACCCACGTGCCCAATCCCTTCTTTCCGCTTGCTCCTCCCCCCCCCTCTCTATCCCACCCCTCTCCCTCCTCTTCCAGAGCCCCTCTAAACGGTGCTGCTGGTCTGGTGTGGGTGGCATGCGGCGCAGAGATAGCAGCAGCACTCTCTGTCATCCCCACGTGCCCAATCCCTTCTTTCCGCTTGCTCCTCCCCCCCCCTCTCTATCCCACCCCTCTCCCTCCTCTTCCAGAGCCCCTCTAAACGGTGCTGCTGGTCTGGTGTGGGTGGCATGCGGCGCAAAGATTGCAGCAGCACTCTCTGTCATCTCCACGTGCCCAATCCCTTCTTTCCGCTTGCTCCTCCCCCCCCCTCTCTATCCCACCCCTCTCCCTCCTCTTCCAGAGCCCCTCTAAACGGTGCTGCTGGTCTGGTGTGGGTGGCATGCGGCGCAGAGATTGCAGCAGCACTCTCTGTCATCCCCACGTGCCCAATCCCTTCTTTCCGCTTGCTCCTCCCCCCCCTCTCTATCCCACCCCTCTCCCTCCTCTTCCAGAGCCCCTCTAAACAGTGCTGCTGGTCTGGTGTGGGTGGCATGCGGCGCAGAGATAGCAGCAGCACTCTCTGTCATCCCCACGTGCCCAATCCCTTCTTTCCGCTTGCTCCCCCCCCCCCCCCCCCCCTCTATCCCACCCCTCTCCCTCCTCTTCCAGAGCCCCTCTAAACGGTGCTTCTGGTCGCGTGTGTGGCATGCGGCGCAAGCGTGTAGCGGGCCGGGCTGCAGCGGGGGTTGTGACTCTTAGTACGAGGAGAACATGACCCCTTACGCAGTCCGTACGGTGCTCTCACACTCTGCTCCCTCTCCCATATGATTTCACTCAGACTAGTTCATCCCCTCTCTCCCCCCTCTATCTCCCTTCTCTCCCCTACCTCAACCAGAGCCCCTGTTCATGGTGCTGGTGGTGGTGTGGGTGGCCTGCGGCACGTGTTACCCAAATCCCACTCTCTCGACCTCTGGTTTCCGCCCTTCTTTGGGAGTCACCCACATATCCTTTTTTCCTATCCATCCGGCTGTCGTAGGTTCATTTCGCAGAGGGGCGGGACCGGATGTGCCTCGAGGCGCCAGACCATGCCATAGACTTCTACCCAACGCTCGAACAGCGCGTGCAGGTGTTGTATGAGGTTATCAGCGAGACGCACATCATCAACATGATGCAGCTGCGAGAGGCTATGGAAGACAAAAACATCATAGGCGCTTTTAAACGCGCCTGGACGTCATGGAAGAACGAACGAGGCTTCCACCTCAAGCGCAGAGTGCTCGTCACTTTCGGCAACAAGGTGGAAGGCCTGCGTGCAGCCGAACTGTGGATGGGCACCAAGAAGAAGCGGAAGATGTGGAAAAAATACCAACCGAGTGAGTACTTGCGTGACTGTTTTCCATCCCCTATTGACATGTCTGCTCATGCACCCCTCGTGCATGCCCCACGTTGATGAAGCACGTACCCCCAATGCATCCCCACTTTGGCACGCGACTACATACCTGCTCTCCTCGCCCATGCTTGTAGCGCATGTGCAAACACATCCGCATGACAGCCATCCGTTGGTTCTTCTCCCACACTCCCCTTCTCCCGCCCCCCGTTTAACTCCCGCCCTCCTCTTCTCTCCCGCCACCCCCTTCTCTCCCGCCCTCCCTTCCTCTACCGCCCTCCCCTTCTCTCCCGCCCTCCCCTTCTCTCCCGCCCTCCCCCTATCTCCCGCCCACCCCTACTCTCCCGCCCTCTCGCCATTCATTCCCCCCCGCCCTCGATGTTCATCCATACCCTTTGGACAACCCTAAACCATGAGTCATGCATGATCACGGATGTCTCATGCTTCCCCGCATTCTCATACATGCGCGCAGGAGGGAAACAGCGGGTCAGCTCGTGGGGAAACAACAGAGACGGGCTCCCGTTTGCCAACGGCCGGTTTGTAGATGCGGTCCGGGAAGCATTTCGGAATTTCTGTGTCGGGCGCCGGGTGTGCGTCAAAGCATACCACATTGCCTGGTCAATCATGGTGGTACGCAATTATTGCTCAACCCATGGTATGCTCTAGCTTGGCATGCTGTTTTATAGTCCCTCGGCATGGTATGTGGGGCATTTAGCGCAGCCTCTAAACTCTGCACGCGAGTGTCCCCTGAAGTTGGTGTTTTTCCTCCATCCCATACTGTGCTATGCCTTTTCAGATTGACCAGGGCCTATCAAAGGTTAAGAGGACTGACTGGAACGTCTCCAACTCCCACCGGAAGAACAGTGAATGGATGGGGGGTTTGCACCGTAATGTGCGGTGGATTATCAAGGACCACTTCACACGCCACACCCCCGTGTACAACACATACGTGAAGGGCTTCAAGTGGGGCGACCGTGGGCTGTATGTTCACGAGTCAGGATTTGAGGCCTTCCGGGGGAAGGCTGAGCTTGATGCCGAAACGAAGGACCTGAAGGAGGAAGAAAAGGAGGTGTACGACTCGGAGGACATGGAGGAGGATAAGGAGGAGGAGGATGAGGAGGAGGAGGAGGAGGAGGAGGAGGATGACGAGGAGGAGGACGAGGAGGAGGAGGAGGAGGAGGAGGAGGACGAGGAACAGTGGGGGCAGGAGCAGAGGAAGAGGAAAAGGCACAAGAGACCTAGGGCAGGCGGGAGGGATGAGGAAGAGGATGAGAAACGGGGGGGGGCAAGAGCTTAGGAAGGGCAGAAGGCACAAGGGAGGGAAAACCAGGGGAGGCAGGAGGGAAGCGGACGAGGAAGAGGAGAAGGAAGAGGAGCTGGGGGATAAGAAACAGGGGGGGCAGGAGCGGAGGAAGGGCAGGAAGCACAAGAGAGGCAGAGGGCAGGGAAGCAGGAGGGAAGAGGAAGTGGAGGAAGATGAGGAAGAGGAGGAGCAGGAGGATGAGAAACAGGGGGGCCAGTCGCGGAGGAAGGGTAGAAAGCACAAGAGAGGCAGAGGCAAGGGAGGTTGGAGGGAAGTGGAAGAGGAGGAAGAGGAGGAAGAGGAGAAAGAGGAGGAAGAGGATGAGGATGAGGATGAGAAGCAGGGGGGCCAGGAGCGGAGGAAGGGCAAAAGGCACGAAAATGGCAAAAGAAGGGGAGGCAAGAGGGCCAAATGATGGTGTGACGAGACAAGGGGGGATGCAGATGAGGCATGCGTGGAGTTTAAAAAAGGGGACAGCAGGAGAGGCATCACATACGTGCGAGGAGAGGCATTGGTGGAGACAACAAGGGGGGCATCAGGGAAGGCACGTGTGGATAGAGAAAGGGGGACAGCATTACGGAGGGGAGTGGTGCAAGGGCCGCAGCAGTATAGGCATGACCGGATAGGACAAAGCAAGCAGCAGTAAAGGCTTGACTGGAGGATGTCTAAGGCGGAGCAGCAGACGCATGACAGGGCTGGACATGCGAGGAAGCAGTGGACGCACGGGCAGGGCAATAGTACCACAATTAGTGAAGGAGGGATGGGAGATGCAGGAAGAGAGGCAGGAAGTGGGGTCGCAGCCAAGGCATGGATCATGGGGGCTAGGTGTAGGGGCGAGCATGCTCGGCCTAGAGCACGAGACATGGGGTGTAGTGGGAGGCATAGTGTACGGGAGCATGAGAAGCAGGTTGATGCAGATCACCCTAAGAGGCGGGGGTCTTTGACTAGAGAGGGTGGGGTGTAGGATGCTCTTGTACGTATGTGCCTTTTTTGTTGAGAATAAAACCCATTTACCAACGCTTCAGTAATGGTCATTTTGGATGCTAGGATGAGGCAACTAAACATCTTGTTAAACAACATGTTAACCATTGCAAGTCTCCAATCCAACTTCATTATAACTAAACCGGATGTCCTTGAAGAGTACAATGCAATGAGATCCAATCTCCGAAATTACTCTGGGGGAAACTCCAACCAAACTTCTGCCGAAGGTTTTCACCTGAGAGGTTTGAACACACAAGCATCGCAGAAGCATGCGAACAGCGTTCGACAAAGCATCCAGAAGAAGGTATATACTTTCTCAAAATATCGTACCAAACAAGACGTTTATAAATCATTCAACAAAGCTTTAAAGCAACTCTTTTCAAAGGTTTTCTGGACGCAGGATTTTTGTGATGCAGCCGCGCTACAGCCGCTTCCACGGCCGCCACGCCCTCAGGGCTGTAGCGCGAGTCGAGAGTCAGAATGCACCCCGGCCGTGGGGGCGCCTCCTCCCACGCCACTGCCGGCAGGCTCTGCAGCGGGAAGAAGTTCCAAAGCTCCAGGCTGTCCACCCAAGCCTAAGGCTCGGGTGGGTGTGGTGAGGGGAAGAATTCAGGAAGCAAGAGAATGCAGAGAAGAGACTGGAACAAGCGAGTCGAGAGTTCCAATGCACGCAGGCCGTGGGGGACCCTCCTCCCCCCCTCCCACGCCACTGCCGGCAGCGCGTCCAGAGGGGAGAAGTTTCGAAGCTCCAGGCTGTCCACCCAAGCCTGAGGCTCGGAAACGAAGCGAGGATGGCGAGGGGAGGTGGGTGTGGGAACAATATAAGCGGCGGGGAAATTTACAGAACAGATGCGCTCACCTCGTTAGCGACGAGCAAGCCATGCGCGACGACGAGCGCCAGAAGCCCAACGTGGATACTTTATCGAGCGGCACTGATGAGCTCACCTCGTTGGCGACGAGCAGGAATCGCACGACGACGAGCGCCAGAAGCCCCGCCACGCAGCGGACGATCCACGGCCGCCACTGCACTGCACTCGCCGCGGCGCCTTTCTCGCATTCAGGCGGCGCCTCGTACCCTGCTTTCCCGGCGTGCGATGGCAAACTGTCCGCCGCGTGTCGTGCGAGTTTCGATCCTGCCTTATGATCGCGCGCGCCATGCACAGTCCCCAATCTCTTCCGCCAGCTCAGCAGAACTCGCGGAAACATTTCCGTCTCTGTGTGATCGCGAGTATCAACGTGATGCCGAGCCGCTGATACAGATGAAGCCGAGTCCTCAGAGGCTGATGACGGCCTGAGAGCCCGGCAGTCCTGAAACCAGCCGTCTCAGCCGAGCTACCAGATTCAACATTCAAGGCTACGTTCAAGTTTCATACTCAATATAGACACAGCCTCAATTTCAAGTACAGCCCAGGAATGCAATGAGTGAAATTTTGAGTGTTAACGTAAGAGTGTAGTAGAAAGAGCAAACAGGGGTTGCACTAACCGGACACATAATACAATCTGAGAAGCCGTTTTTTAAGCAAAAACACGGTAACATAACATGCAAATATTCTGTGCGCACAATGATTGGTGCCACACTTAGGGTAAGCAATTCCTCACGCAACGAACTACGTGTCAAATGCTATTATTGGTTCTTAGGCTACAATGAGTAGCACTCTAGGGAGTACAACACTTTTAGGGTTGCTATGTATCCCTCATTTCCCTAGTTCACATTATTCCATTGCGTTCCTACTTTGAGATGGTATCACGAGTAGGTTAGACTCCTTACCTAGCTAGAGCCCTACACGCCCTCCGTTACGCGCCCTCGCGCCCTAGCGCCCTCCGCGCCCTAGCGCGCCTCCGCGCCTCTCGCGCCCTCCATCGCTAGCTTAAGCGCCCTCCGCGCCCTAGTGCGCCTCCGCACCTAGCCTGCGCCCTTCCGCGCCCTCCCGCGCCTAGCCTGCGCCCGGGCCACGCGCCCTCTCTGTAGCCTGCACCTAGCCCACGCCCGAGCCGCGCGCCCTCTCCGTAGCCCGCACCTAGCCCGTGCCTGGGCCGCGCGCCCTCTCCATAGCCCGCGCCCTAGCCCGTCGCCCTCACCCCGCGCCCTAGCCCGTCGCCCTCACCCCGCGCCCTAGCACGTCGCCCCAGCCCGTCACCCCAGCCCGTCACTCCAGCCCGCGCCCCAGCCCGTCACTCCAGCCCGCGACCTAACCCGTCGCCCTCACCCGCGACCTAACCAGCACCCTCGCCCTAGCCCCAGCCCGCGCCCTAGGCCGCGCCCTGCCCTAAGCCGCGCCCTCGCCCTAGGCCGCGACCTCGCCCTCAGCAGCGCTCTGCCCTACCCTCACTCTCCTCTTAACCTGTTTTGCCAGCCCCACGCCATTCCTACTGCGGTTGGCTTCCGATTCAATGACTTGCAGCCGCTCTTCCCACCAGTAGCACGACCTAGGATCGTTTAGATCCCCACTCCTAGACTAGCTTCCTCTGACTGTCCCTAGTCTATGTCCAACTGGCATCTCTAGCTGTCTCTAGTCTCTCTTCTCGTTCCTAGCTCCGCTTTCTCTGTACTCCAGTCGACGCTAGCCTAGCGTCCGCTATGGACTCCTCCCGCCGCCTTCGTTTCGATGCGGAGGGTCGTCCGATAGAGTTCGGCACCTGGCTCCGCCAGACTCAGCGCTATCTCACCAGTCAGCGCCAGGACGGCGCCACCCTGTACGCCCACGCGTCCGGCGCCTTCCAGGCACCCATGCGTCCTCAGCCCCTACCTACAGTGCCCCCCCCCAACTCGGGAGGCGCAGGCGGACTACGATCGTCTCGTCTTGGCGCGGGACGTTTGGGACTCCCGTGACGCTGCGGCTGCACTCGCGCTAACACAACTTCTTCCACCGACAGGGGTCGTTCACTTCGACGAGGAAGAGACTGCGAAGGAGGTTTATGATGCTATTTGTGCACGCTATTCCACCCTGTCCTCTGCCTCACTACGCCGCATCCTCATGCCGTTCGTGTTTCTTGACCTCGGCTCGTTTGCGACTGTCTCCGACCTAGCCACTCACTTGCATTCTCTTGTCACTAGCTACCGTGCAACTTGCACTGAGGCTCAGCTTCTTGTTGCTCCCCCTCCTATCTGGCTCACCGTCCACTAGATGGTCACTCGTCTCCCTAACCGCCTCTCCACTGCCCGTGACGCGCTTCTCTAGCAGCACCCCAGTGAGCTTACGATTGATCTTCTCGAGACCACTCTTGGGAAGATCGGGAGTAACCTCTTCTCTATTGCATCGGGCACTAACACAGTTGCCCCCGGTCTGTTTGAAGGGTGTGCTGCCCCCCAGCTTCCCTCCTTCACTACTACTCGTGCCTCTGCTACTGTGTCGGTCTCTGAGGACGCTGCAGATGTTTTTGCTGCTGACAGGCAGAAATGGGGCAAGGGCGGCAAGAAAGGGGGGAAGGGGGGTGGCGGCGGTGGAGGAGGTGGCGGTGGTGGAGGCGGTGCTGGGGCCGGCAGTGGTGGCGGCGGAGGTGGTGCACCGGGTGGAGGGAGCCTTGGAGGAGGTGCTGACCCACCTGCTGGAGGAGGTTCGACCAGCAGTGGCGCAGGGCCCCAGGAGCAGCAGCCATAGAAGCAGCAGCCGCAGCAGAGATAGCCGCCAGAGCAGGGACAGCAGCAGTGGCAAGCACCACAGCAGTTTCAGTCGTGGGAACCCCTATTGCAGTGGGGTCCGCAGCAGCACTGGGGCCCCTCGCCACAGTGGGGACCTGGAGGACCCGGAAGCACTGGCCGCAATAGCAGCACTACCAGCTGGGCCTCTCGCACCCCGCGGCGCGACACCGGCCCCTGCGACCACTGGTGCGTCACCAAACCGGGCAGTCCCCTGTGTCTGCAGCCGCGACGACTACTCTGCGGCGCCGTGCTTCCGCCGCCTCGACGTCCTCTACCGTGCGCGCTGGGGTCCTAAGGAGTCCACCCCATGCTGGGCTCGCCTGCTAGCCCGTAAGATTCCTGCATTTGAACTGTCTATGGACGATGCTTGTCAGTATGCTTTGTATGCTGATGTTGACTATAGTGCTGATGGATCTGAGTGCTCGCGTGTTCGTAGTCTCGGATGCTTGCCTCTTGTTGGTGTAGACATGTGCCTCTCTAGTCTAGGTGTTTGTGTTTTCTGCTCTAGGTGCTTGTGTAGCCTCTAGGCCTGACACGCCTCCGACTGAGGCGTCTTTGTCATTCACGCTGGACTCTGGCGCGTCTCAGTGTTGCTTCCGTAACCACACGACCCTCACACCACTCCTTGCTCCGGTTCTGGTAGCTTTGGCTGATCCTTCTTCAGGACCAGCCGTTCCGCGCAGCTCCACCACCCTCCCGTGCCCTGTGATCCCCTCTGCGTCCTGCGCGGCCTCCACATCCCCTCGTTCACTCGGAACTTGGTAGGTGTTGGATACCTCCAGGACAGGGGGATCACCGTTACCTTTGTGGGGGGTGGGAGGACTGCGATTTATACAGACGCCGTTACAGGTGCTCTGGTCTCTACGTTCTCCACATCGAGCGCTCCCCGGTTGCTTCCTCCGCTCAGGTCGCTGCGTCCCCTCAGGTCCCAGTGTCTACTCCGGTTGTTGTGTCTAGTCAGGTAGAGGTGTCTGGTCAGGTTGCTGCGTCGTGCTCCTGTCGGTCCCTCGCCCACCCGACCGTCT